GGTGCACCATGGGAGAGAATAGCCATTGACGTGGCGGGGCCGTTTCCGGAGAGTGAAAGCGGTAACAAGTATTTCATGGTTGTGATGGATTACTTCACTAAGTGGCCAGAAGTCTTCGCCATTCCAAATCAAGAAGCTTCAACAGTTGCAGATAAACTAGTTCATGAAGTCTTCTGTCGTTTTGGAGTACCTTTAGAGATTCACAGCGATCAAGGAAGGAATTTTGAGTCTTAAATATTCCAGGAAATCAGTTATGGGTACTCATAAAACAAGAACGACTTCTTATCACCCGCAATCTGATGGAATGGTAGAACGATTTAATCAGACATTGGAGAGGTACCTAGCAAAAGTTGTAGACAATCGGCAACGAGATTGGGACAAGCACATACAACCGTTTTTGTTGTCATATCGAAGCGCTGTTCACGAAAGTACAGCAGTGACACCAGCTTTCGCAAACTTTGGAAGAGAATTACGGCTGCCTGCAGACCTGATTACCGGGATACCACCTGATGCTCCACGCAGTATAACCGATTATGCAAATGACTTGCGGAACAAAATGAATGACGTTTATGAGCACGTCAGACAATCGGGCCAGCAAATGTCTGAAAAGATGAAAACCCGGTACGACCGCAAAATGAACAACAAAGAGTTCGACGAAGGTTCACTTGTGTGGTTGCACAATCCAGTCCGCAGCAAAGGGAAATCTCCTAAGCTTCAAGCTAAATGGGACGGCCCGTACCGGATTGTGACCAAGATCAACGATGTAACCTACCGGATACAGAAAAGCGCAAGAGGGACTCCTAAGATCGTCCATGTGGATCGCCTGGCGCGTTATTACGGGGCCGATAATGCTCGGGACGAGCATGTCTTAGGAGGGGGCAGGTTACGCGCTCAAGTCGACGGCACTAGCGCCATCGAGGTCTCGAACCGAAGAACTAAACTTCTTGAAATTGAAACACGAACTCTCGGTACCTTGCGCGTGTTTACTTGAATATTCTGGATATTTCGCTGCTAATTTATATAAATAGGCGCTGCAAGATGCGATCGAGGAAGTATTGGATTCGGCGAGACAAGCGAAGCTTCGGAGCGGAATAAAGTGAATCAGTGTGATTAATTATTAGTGTTTTTAACTTTAATTAGTGTAAAGTGAATTAAAGTGTTAATTTAGGTAATTCTATCGGCAATTTTTATTGTCACGAACCTCAAGCTCGTAACAGTATGTTATTATATTTTACAAAAATATCGCATGAATATCTCCATATTTATTAAATATAATCTCTATTTTTATTAGAACTAATGTTTAATTTCAACTTATTTGAATAAAAATCATGAATTTGTTCTAATGCTAAATTTAAATTGTTTACCGCTATATTTACATCTTTATTTACAGTATATACAAGGAGATCATCAGCAAATTGCAAATAGTTTATATTTCTATTTGTAATATATTTACTTATTAAACATGTATATATATTATATAACAAGGGAGATATAGTAGACCCTGCATAGTGCCTTTGTATACATTTCTAGGGCCATATATAATGTTTATTATGTTTATGTTTAAAGACATTTATTCTCATAAAGACATTTTATACGCCACTTACATGAGAACATAAATAAAAGTAAATCTAACTAACAAAATTCATTGTCGTACCTATGTTGTTGAAAAATAAATAACATCAAAAACAGCTATTGACGGGAAAAATCTATACAAATAAAAGAAAAGTTAAATTCTACTATACACTATCACCTTATCACCACAATAATAACCAGGAACAAACCAGTCCAACGCACTCAGATAGATATGTTTGTGATTATATGATTTGCTAGTCGCTTTTTGAATACATTGAACGAGTCTACATTTTTTATTTCCGAGGGTATCTTATTAAAAAGGCGCGAACCTTCGCATGTAATTGTGGTCTGGCCGTACTTTGTTCGAGTTTTAGGCAAAACAATGAAGCTTGCGCGTCGAGTGCAGATGCGCCCAACTTTTTTTCGTTTGGTGAATTGCAGACCCGTGCGGACCTTCTTGTTCATGGATTTTCGAATAAAGATACATGTGCTGTAAATGTATAATTGTTTGATATTCATCAGATTCGTCTCTCGTAAAATTTTTAAAGTTGACGTTCTGAAATTGTAGTTGAATTGCATTTTTATGATTTTATTTTGTAGGATTTGTAATTTATTTAATCTAGTACTGGCAGCGCTTCCCCAGACCTCGATGAGATATAACAGGTGTGGTTTAACGAGGGCATTATATATTGTGAAACGTAGTTTCTGTGGTATGTATCGAAAATTAATCCGAAGTAAGGCGTGAAGTGACATTAATTTGGTTATTAAATATTTAATGTGAACTTTCCATGTTAAATAGGTATCCAAATGAAGGCCAAGATATTTTTCATTAGTTTCTTCTTGCAATGGTGTATTGTTTATTTTAAGAGGTGTGAAATTAGGTATAGGTTTATTTTTTGCTTTAAATATTATGTAGCTAGTTTTGGAAATGTTGATAGTTAATAAATTGTATTGTAACCAATCGTGAAGAATGTCAAGGTCCTGCTGGGCTTGAGAGACAAGATCATGAATTGAAGGGCCAAAGTAGAAAAGGCAAGTGTCATCAGCGTAAAGTGTGATATTGCCATTCAAGCCCAACTCATGCATATTGTTAATATAGACTAAAAAGAGCAGAGGACCCAATATTGAACCTTGTGGAACTCCATAGGTTATGGGTTGTGGGGGACTTTGAGTGCTATTGCCTATTTTAACGACCTGGGATCTATTCGTGAGGTAAGACTCAAACATTTTTAAGGCTGTGCCAGTAATACCAATGACTTCCAGTTTTTTTAAGAGCAGTTTATGACTTACGGTGTCAAATGCCTTTTTCAAATCGATGAATACTCCTAGTACGATGTTTTTTTTATCAATGTTTTGTTTGATTTTAGTTACCAGATCAATTGTAGCTGTGAGTGTATTACTTTTAGAACGAAATCCGTACTGTCTTTCAAAAAAGAAATCTATAGAATCTAAGTAGTTTTGTAGCCGTGTATGCAAGACATTTTCGAGAATTTTTGATAATACTGGCAGTACGGAAATTGGTCGATAGTTGCCCGGTTCTGTTTTTGGTCCCGATTTGTAAATAGGTGTTACTTTGGCTATTTTAAGTGAGTCTGGAAATGATCCGTTTTGTAAAAGTTTGTTAAAGTTTTTCGTTAATGAACTTATTATTAAGTCCTTCACACACTTGATAACCTTTGTACTAATACCATCTAGACCGACACTACTGTTTGAATCAAGTTTGTTAATAATATTAAGAATTTCTTCTTCAGTGCATGGGTCTAAATTATTCATTTGCAAATTTTGTAAAAGTGGTTTTGGTAGTGCGTGAGTATAATTTACATGGAACTGAATAGGTATTTCGTCAGCTAAATATGGCCCTATAGTAGCGAAAAAGTTATTAAATATATTGCATATCTCATGAGGATCAGTAATTTCTATTGAATTAACAATATACAATAATAGGAGGAGCGCATCTTTGTTTAAATTTATTATTTGTTAGGGTATTGAGTAAATTCCATAGCTTTTTGGGTTTTCCACTGTATTTGTCGAATTCCTTCTTATAATATGACTTCTTTGTTTCCCGTATTAACTTGATTATTTTATGTCTTTTGGTGATAAACTTTTCTTTCAGGTCTTCTCTTTCTGGGTTGTTCTGTAGTTCTGTCCACATCAAGTTTCTTTCATTGATCTCTGTTATGATACTTTTGTTTATCCATTCTTTTTTGTGGTTCATTCATAATTTTTGTCTTTATTACTTTGCTTTCTTCCATACATTTTTTTATTAGTTTTTCCAGTCTTGTGAAGTCATCGTTGGATTCTTGTATTCCTGCTTTCTCCATTGATTTATGAAGTTCTTTATAATTTATTGCTTCGTATTGATAATATTTTCTTGGGGGCGGTTTTGTTTTCTTGATTTCCACGTAAAGCTGTCTATGATCAGAAAAAGATGAGTTGACATATACCATATGAAAGTTTTCTTCCTTTAAGTTGGTGCTTACATGATCTAGGATAGACTTTTTTTTATGTCCTTGTTTGGTGTAATATTTTTTTGTGATTTTATTTATGATCTTGTATCCAGTCTGTTTTAGCAGATGACTGTATCTTTTGGTCTCTGAATTTTTTTGTGAGTAAGTCAACGTTAAAGTCACCAAAAACTATTGCTCTGCTTCTTTCTTGTAATTGTGATTCGTATACTTCAAGAAATTGCTTGAAATTAGTGTGTCCAGGATTATATACCACTCCTACTTCAAGTGCATATTTTTGTAGTTTTATCCACAGATAGTTATTGCCTCCTACATATTTTGACTCTGATAAACTGTGCTTCAGGTTATTGTGGACATAAGCAGATACCCCTCCTCCACCAGCATCTGTTCTGTAGTTATAATAATGAAAGTAATTCGGTAGTTGAAGTTGTAATGCTTGTTCCTCGTTGCGAATCCAAGTTTCAGTTATCAGTATGATGTGCACATTATTTGGTATTGCTTGTAATACACACTTGAGTTCATCGAGTTTTCCCACTTTACGTATACTTCGAGCGTTGAGGTAGAGAAAGGTGAAGCGTGATTTGTTGATTGTAAAATTTTGGTAACTGTTTAATATTTCATAAGTGTTGTTTTTGATACAAATGTTTATTTCTGTGTTTACTGTGTGGAGTTTTTTGATGTTTTTATGATTAACGGTGTTCCATTAACATATTTAATTGTAAGGTTAGTCTCACCATTATCTTGTCGTCGCTTTAATTCTTCTCTTAATTTTCTCAAAAAGTTTTGTTGAGTTGGTGTTTGGTCTGAGAACATTTTTAGACCATCTTGTAGCTTACTTCTGTTGCGGAGTAGTATTTTGGCATGTTCTATTGTTTCGAAGCACACCTTGATACTGCGGTTCTTGCCGGGTTGGAGTTTGCCGATCCTGAAAATTTTTGTCGGTTTTGGAATGCCTGCACTCACCGAGGATATAGTTTTGAATACCTCAGCTTCGTCTTTTGACAATCTGTCTTCAGGAGTAGACGCAATTTGTTCAGGTAAGCCGACAAGCACGATATTTTTTTCTCTATTTTTGCGTTGCTGAATCTCCTGTATAATTTGTTCGCCGAGTATCAACTCGTTTTCCAGCGTTATTGGTGCAGATTTTGAGGAAATTTTGAGTTTGTTTAAGTCTGATTCAAGTGATTCCATTTTTACTTGCATTGCGCTATGAGATCGCTCGTTCGTCAATTTAATATCAGCAATTTGGTTTTTTATATCAGTAATATTTTCTTGCATGGTTTTTAAAATCAGCTCATTAGACACGATGTATTTTTCTAATAGAGAACTGATACGACTTAGTTCAGATCTCATTCCCCCTAATTCTTCAGAGCATGCACATTCGACACCAAAAGGCAATTTTCGTTTCCGAAATGTAATTGATGAATCCGACACTAAATCGCTCATTTTAGATATATCTGGTTGCGACCCTCCAGTTGGTGACCTCTGAACGCTCATATTGCTTGCGTTACGTTAACCGACACACCGATTCTACGTATTGAGTAAGCGAGTTAAAAAATAGCAACCGTACGTGTTTCGCGGAGGTGAAGACGGCTCACTGTTATTGTAGCGGGGGTCCTCTTTGTTGATGCACAGGAGTGTAATGTCACATTAAACAAACAACTTTCACACAATTAAACGTTTTAAGTCTTCTTGGTTAAGGATGTAATTAGACTTGCACTGATTTAGAAAATATTTAGAATTTACTTGTACACGTCTACTCAGTACGACAACGAATACATAATTAATTGAAATGTTATTAAATTTAACATACATAGTTCGGTTATATAGCAAATTAAAAATCAATTTACATACTTTTCCAGGAATACCAAGCTCACACAGAATATTTGCCAATATGGAAGGATCTACATTATCAAATGCACTTTGTATATCGATAAATGCACAAACTGTAGTTGCATGACTGGTAAATGAATGATTTATATCAGAAATCAAAGAGGCAAAACTCTCTGCAGCACTTTTTCCTTTCCGAAAACCAAATTGTTGTTCAGGTAAAATATTATTTGCTTCTATGTAATGGTCTAGTCTGTTTTTCAACATGTATTCAAATAATTTTCCTACACAAGAGTAAAGTGAAATTGGCCTGTAGGAGTTGAAGTCATGTTCTGGTTTATCAGGTTTCAAAATAGGTATCACACATTGCGTTTTCCAAGACTTTGGAATACATTGATTGTCCTAAAGCATATTAAAGATTTTTAAAATAGTTTTTTGTCCATTAACATGCATGTTGCTAATAAGCTTATATGGAATATCATCCAATCCTGGAGTGGAATCTCTCCTATCGGATAGCTGCAGTAAATTCATGCCAAGTAAATTCTTTCAATAGAAAAGAGCTACTGTCAGTACCTATTTGATTAAATATTGTATTTAAATTTAAAATATCTATTTCCTTTTCAGATAGTGGTGTTGTTACGAGAGCATATTCATTTAATAAAGAAGGAATCCAATCATCATTTTTGATGGCTTATGTACAGGTACCCTTTTAAATCTCCTAATATAATTCCAGATATAAGTTATTGGAGTATATCTATTAAATGAATCACAAATTCGTCTCCAACTTGTTTTCTTTTTTTCACTTATTAATCTTTTTTTCAAGGCGTCAATCTTTTTATATTCTATATAATTTTCTATTGTAGGATTTAATTTGTAAAATCTTAGAGCATTTTTACTTTTCTTTACAGTTTCCAAACAGTCCGCGTCCCACCAAGGAACTGGTTTTCTCATAACAAACACATTAGGTTTGGAAATTATAGGTATACAGTCTTTCCTTATTTCAAAAAGTGTGGTGCAGAAGTTTTCATAAGTATCAAGCAAATTGGATGTATCAATTGTGAAGTTTTCAAACTTTTTTTTTGTTTCAGCCTGGAACTTTAACCAGTCTGCTTTTTATAATTGAAACGTTCACAAGTTTCTCCTATATCATATTTTTCAACACGTATATAAGTCAACTATGGTTGGATAGTGATAACTACCCATAGGATTATCATGTATATGCCAATCACATAAAGGAACTAAAGAAGGACTAACACATGAAAGATCAATAGAAGATTGATTAAAATTAATGCTTCCTACTGTAGTTGAAAATCCATTATTATATGTATTTTTTAGATATCAGTACCTCTAGTTTTTGTTGTGAGACATCCAAAAGTAATATGATGAGCATTTAAGTCACCTGAGAGCAACAGTGGCGTAGGTAGACTGTTAATAATTTGTTTTAAAGGCGTGTTTTAAGGTTTTCTAACCTTAAAGCGCCCTCCACTAGGTGAGGCATAGACACATAAAATGGATATATTACCTAGACTTGTAGTAAGGGACTCTACAGACTGCATATAATCATAGAACATTGTGGGAACAACAAAATATTTGAAACTATTTTTAATTAATATTGCTACTCCCCCACGTCCATTTTTTCCATTCTGATTAATGAAATTATAGTTTGGAATGTTGATAGTTCTATTCTCTCGCAGCCAAGTTTCATTTAACAGGCAAATATCAATATCATTCTCAACTAGATAATTAATAAGCAAAGGCTTTTTATTATTAACAGATTGTATATTAAATTGTGAAATTCGAATAAATTGTTTCTTCATTGTTTTTAATATTAGTAATAAGCATTTCTTTTATACTTGATGTAGTCAGTTTACAGCCTGAGTTACCCATGGCCACCAATGCTCCAATAATTGCTTTCAAAATATTGTCATAATTTGGTCAATAAGAGTGTTATTATTATTAGTTGTAGTCATTGATTTATATAACCCTAGATCAGTAATAACCGCGCCAAAGCGTTGCCACTGCACATATAGCCACAGCCATATGCCTAGCTAACTTGAGTTCATTGTTCAATATGACGCCGACAGAGTTGAGCCGCGACAAAAATGGGTAAATGTGTAGTGAAAGAATGCTGTTCAAGGTCACAAAAATGTAATAAATCAAGCGGCATCACTTTCAACACGTAATTTTTAGTTCTTGTTTTCATATAAACGTAAAAAACCTCAAATAATAAAATAAAATTATCGAATATTGCCATTTAGCCATTGCCATTTAGGTTCAATGTTGCCACTTTTCCGCATTTGTGATTATCCTACATTAATGGGAGACTATATAATTAATGGAGTAAGTTAATTTGTTACCTATGATTTTAAATATTTTGGAAATTATAATAAAAACTACGTTTTAACTTTCATACAAAATAATTAATTATTCTTATTTTAGTTTATTCATGAATTATCTATTAAATATATTTTATTACCTATTTCATATTAATAATTTTATATTATTTATAATTTCATATAAATTTTATATTAATTATATTTTGTTAGATACCTATTTTATATTGTTTGATTTATTAGAACCATAAAAACACGTTATCATATATCATTATGTTTACTTCTATTCATCTGATAAGCTTTGTATCCCTTTTTTCTAAGGAGACGTAATAAAGATTTTAAAATAAAATATACTTTTTTAATATAAAAACAATTAACTGCAGCTTAAAAAACTCATTTTTTTGCGTAATTTAGGTAAAATTTCATATAGTAAGCCACACCAACCCGCCATTGCATGTTTGTGTGTCTCATCATCATCATTACAGCCCTTCACAAGTCCACTGCTGAACATAGGCATTTGTGTGTCTATCTTTATCTAATCTTACGACGACGATATTGTTTTCGCAACTTGTGTAAGTGAGATAGTTATATGTTTACTTAAAATTGTTATTAGTTTTAAAGCTACGTCGTCGCGTTTGGATAGTGGTTACACTTTTTTTGACGCGCGGTAATGTGGTTTGCTCCTCTAGTGTTGTATAACTCAATGGTTGTAGTATTAGTTTGGGTAGTTTCCGTCTTTGATTTGTGTACTTTAGGAGTGTCATTAGATTTAACTTGTGATTGATCTACTGTTTTTGAATCTATTGTTTTTTTTTGTAGGCATTAAAGGAACATTTGCATTATAATTGTTGTATAAATTTTGAGTTTGTTTTGTTTGTAAGACTTTAGCATAAGTAGACCTATTATATTTATCATCAATTTTTTTTTATTCGACAATCTCTAGAAATTGCGACATGAGGGCCACTACAATTTATGCATTTAATTACCGCATTTTCCTTACATTCAGTGTACCGATGTTCATCTGCACAAATTCAACACCTTTGCACTGATTTACAAATTTTCGCTCCGTTTAAAGCATTTAAAACATTGTAACAGCGGGGTAATATATTGATGCATCCTATATTGAAATAAATCCAGATGTACAAAGTCAGGTAAGTTAGTTGACAAAAATGTTACACTTACAGAACTGAACGGTTTGATCTGTCCATTAACTTTTTTTGTGAAACGACGCACTGCGACGACCTCATATTTCGATGACAGTTTTTTAAAATGCTTTTCATTACTTATGCTTATGGGAACATACCTGAGTACTCCGATTGTTTCCACCGCTCTTGCTGGTATAAATGCCTTGTAATCATACTTCTCTAGGAAGCTTTCATTCTTAAAAAGTCGTTGGCGTTAATCGCCCGCGCAAATACCACCCCCACTTTAGAAGCATTTATTCTTCTTATATTAGTGACTCCTTTGATTTCGTTTTTGAAAATTCCCGGACATGTTATACTCCCGTTCGCTCGGGACCTTAATGGCGGGAAAATTTGTAAGTTAGAAAATTTTTTGCTATATTGCAAATTTTGCTATATTTTCACTTTGAGACAATATTTATGGATAAAACTTACAGGATTTCTTGTTGAATGTATAAACTATCGAATAAAATTATTTTTGGTTGCTAGAAATTGTAATAAAATACATAAATTACCCTGTATAGCATAGTAGCAGTATATACTTCAATTTTAGTGACAAAATTACTACTAATTTGAATTCTACACTTTTGTTTTTGGAGAAATTTATATGAAAATGTTTGGAAATATGTATATTTTTATGTTTTATGTGTTTCTATTCGTTACTCATACCAAAATATTAAAATATTAAAAAATTAAAAAAAAATAATATTTTATCTGTATGATATTTCGAACAATATTTCAAAAATAGTTTTGTGTGAATTTGAAATAAATACAACGTCAAGTTATTTGAAATATGTACATTTTACACTAAAAATTAATGAGAATTTGAAAAATAACACATTTATTATCCAACCGCCAAAATGGGCCTTCCGGATTTTGAAGTACTTTTGGCAATTTACTTTTCACTTTTTATACCACAAATTATATATCTACGTGTTCACTATATTACAAGGAACATAAAAAAGTATAATACTTTCGTTTTTAGTCCAGACACAAATATAAAATTCTATAAAAATGACGGAGCACCTTCATCAAAGCGACACGTGGAACGCCGAAAGTTCAGAGTGATTTCTTTTTTTTTTCTAAGAAACATTGCCAGGTTATGGTTTAAAATAAAAGAGAATATCTTTGTCTTTGATACTATTATCTATTG